ATCACAGAGTCACATGTTGAGCAGTACATCAGTAACATCTTATGTCACATTTGAAGACATGTATATCCTACTGATATACCAGTATCACATAAACAATTAGTACAATGTGCTACAGAGTCACATTCTCATTCAATTCAAGAACAATTCCATCACCACATTCACTATGAAACAAAGGCCAATCTTGTTTTTGGGCATGACATAGAAATAAGTTAGATAGAAAACACAAAAACAAAAGGAGCATTAATTTAATTAATTTAGTTTTTTTCATGTTTTTTTGGGGAGAAAGAGATAAAGAAAAATATGGAGAAAAATATAGAATTCTATTTTTATTTTTAATTGCTTCAACTAAATCATAATTTCCTTATAATATCAAAACTAGTTTATTTTAATTAGAAGTTTGTAGAAGCATTATCTTTTAATCTAACACTCTCTTTGTTACTTTGTAAAAAAACAAAATAATTTTAATTTAAGAAATCTCTATGAATATTTTATTAGGTAAAGTTTATTATTTATAAAATATATTATAAATAAAACTATAATTATTATAATAATTATTATAATATTTTATAATTACTTATCAATAATTTTCTCCTTTTTTTAAATTTTTTATTATTTTTAAGTTTTTTATTGCAATATTCTATTCCTATTTTTAAATCATTCATTTTTATTTGTGTATTTATTGTTATTATGATTTGAATACTGTTAGAAGACAAGTTTTTATAGTAAATAAAAGTAAGTGCTTTTATTTTTTATTAGACTCTTATTTTTATTTGTTCAAGAATAAGAAAATGTTTTATATCATATTTTATGTTAGTTTGCTTCTATTATTTATTCTGTACTCATTTGTTTGTATAAAATTCATTGATAAATGTTAATTGAATTTATATTTTCATTACTTTATCTATTATATTACCTTGATTATTTTTTGATAGTAATTTTTGTTCTAATTAATACATATTATTTGTTATTTCATCAATACTAAAGATAGTTCTTGTTTTTGGATATAAATTCAAAAGTAGTAAAAATTATTATATAAATATTTTGAATTTAATTAAATTTTGATATAAAAATGTTCTTTTATAATGATTTGATATTAGTTCATATTAACAACAATTACATTCTTCATTCTTTAAATTTACAAATTTATATGTATTTAGTATAAATAATAAAATTGATATGATTTATTTGGTAGTAATTCTTCTAATATATGAATAAATGAGATAATAAAAGGTATAAATAACTTTTGAAGATAATACGTTATAATAATTTTTAAATGTAAAATAAAATAATGAAATTTAATTAACATTACTCGATTATTATTTTGTAATTTGTTAGTATATTATTTAATAAGATTTTCTTTTTGATGAATGATTTTAAAAAATTATAATAATTATTAATTCTTGTTTTATAATAGCCAATGAACGAATTTAATTTTTTTTGTGTGTAATATATTCTCTTTTATTTACTCTATAAGGATAATTTCTATAATTTTTTTTCATTATAAATTATTTATAACAGAATGATTTTGTTAAATTATTCATATTAAATTAGAATATAGATATACAAATAAATTTATAATTTAATCATAAATTTGAATAACACTATTATATATTTTTCAAATAACCTAACAATAACTTATCATTAACGCATTGTTTAATACAATTTTTTTAATACCTGTATTAAATTCATAACAACAAACCATTGTATTTAATTTATTTAATCTTCATTAGATCTATAGTGTTTTAATTGTTACATATGATTTTGTCACAAGAATGAATATGCTATTTGTTAAAGAAATAAATTTAAATTATCATAATATTCTTTTATAACAATCTTTATATATTTCATCTAATATATGTCTTAAGATTATTTCACCAACTACACTAACACAGAAAAATACATCTATCATTTCATTTTACTCGAATATCTTCTTATTTGTGAATAACGCTTCTTTTTTATTAACCATTTCCTTAATTATTTAATAAACTTAATTTATATTTATTACCATAATTATAATATTATATATATTTTCAATGAAGATATTGAATTTTCTTTTAACTGCTGTTCACAATGCTTCGGTGTGTCAATGTGGGTAAATCAATACAATTTATTTTACAGAATCATGTTGTGATATTTCTTCAATCAATATAATTTATTAAATTCAGACTATTAAAAAAAAAAGAATACTCAGTTGTATTTATAAACTGAAAAAAACATAAATTTTTGTATATTCCTAATATTAATGCATAATTAAAAATAAGAAATAAAAAGTAGTTAATTAAGTATTAAAAGAAATATTTTCTATTGTTCCTTGCTCAGGAGAGATTAGCTAATCCTATCCCTTTGCTTTAAAAATGTTTATTCATCAGTTATTAGTTTATCCTTTGATTTTAGTTGTTGGATTGTGACAATTTCCTTTTCTTGTTTTTGATATGAAATAGAGTATTTTAAACATCAATTATTTAAATATTCATTATTTAATTTCTTTTTGATTTTGATAGGTTTGAATTTCTTCTTTATTTTCTTATTTTAAGGAGAGTATATAATTACTACTGTATTGCTTTGGGTTAGTATTCTTTTTAGCATCAACCACTACACCACTTTCCTTTGATAATCTTTCTTATATTATCAAATATACTTGTATTCTAACAAGTAATAATACCATCTTTATAAATGCCCATCTTTTATTATCAACGATATCCCATCATTGTAATTAATAAACACTGCTATTCTTGTAGTATTAATTAAGATGTTTTTCAACTAAACACAACATTATAACCAGTCCATAACTAGTTGATTTGAATGATGGAAATATTTTAAGGAAGTGTGTGGTGTCTCTGACGTGCTATCTTCGAATCCCATTAAAACCAAGAAATAAAAATAACGAATGTATTTTTATATTACACAAAAAGTTCTAAGGGAGTTGATTCGATTTCCTATTAACGACAAATGATGTTACTAACTAAAATAATTCAAATTTTAGAAAATTTTATGAATAGTATTATTTATATAAATAATTATACTTGATAAAAAACTAAAGAAAAAATATGATTACTTCTTTTTTTTTTCAATGAAAAAGGATAAAAAGGAAAAAATTAATTAAAAAATCTTGAAAAAAGAAAACGATTGGTACAAAAATGACTACATCAACTTTTCATTCTTATAAAACAAATATTGATATATTAATAACTTCTATTTGTTTAGTTGGATCATTTCTTTCTGTTGGTTTTTTTACTGAATATTTGTTTGTTTATTTTTTGTTATTATAATAAATAATATAAAAGAAATCAGTACACTCATTCATTAGAACAAAACACCAATTTGGCAAAGACAAAATTTTATTTACTGCCACTAGTGGGTTAGTATTTCTTCAGGCATGTTTCAGTACACTTGGAGCATATATCCTCATTAAAATAACAAAACAACACTTTGATATAAAAAATGTTCCATATAAAAGATTTATTATTCAAAGTCAAACGTATTGTGGTGCAATGTTCTTTTCAAATAAATCACTGTTATATATCGATTATCCAACTCAAATTATTACAAAATTTTGTAAACCAATTACTGTAATGTTATTTAGTATTTTTTACACTAAAAAATATGAAATAAGACAGGTTATATTCAGCATTATTACATTTAGTGGAATAGCAATGTTTATGTATGATAAATTTGCTAAATTAGACACTTCTAAATATTCAGACTTTTCATTCATATTTGGATTAATACTAATTGTTATATCTTTAGTTTGTGATGGAATAGCATCATCAGAAGAAGATATTATTGCTCATGACTATCAAGTACCACCATTCTATACAATGATGTATGCCAATCTTTATGCTATTCCATTATTTGCCATATCTC